ATATTCGAGTTCTTTTTGACAAAACTTCAACGAACAATCAGAGCAACTTCAAGACAAGATCCTCCAGCTCCTTGTTCCAAATAGCAAGAGGCTCGGGGGCTACAACCAGATGGATGTACTTTTTCTTCACAAAACACTCACCACTCGAAGGTCCCAAGAAGCGCTACAAGGTTTCACTCCACAAAACACTCGGATAACAATTTGTTCCAACCTAACAAGACTTGAAGGAGCAAAGCGAGACTTTCAGAGCTCAACCATGAAGTGCTCGGGGGCTTGTCGATGCGGGACCCACATGATACCCCGCAAGAGAGAGAAGATCTAGTTCAACTAGGATTCTTCCCATGTAATCTTAGTAATAGAACTATTAAGTAATCCTACTAGGAAATCTCATTGTAAACCGATTAGGACTCCGGCCTCCTGAATATATAAAGGAGGGCAGGGCTCCTAAAGAAGGGGACAATTGTACAACATAACACTTCATAATCAATCCAACGCAAAGGCAAACGCCGACTGGACGTAGGGTCGTTACTCGATCTACGATCGAGGGCCTGAACCAGGATAAATCGACTGTCTCTTGCGTTCACCATCGAGTTCAGCATACGCCGAAGCCCGAACTATACTGCCACGGAACCCCTGTGGCAGGCTATCGGTGGTAAAACATCGACACTGTGATTCCTCTATCACATGACAGACAATATTCAATCAAGGAGAATTGCACGATCAATCAGTAATTAAGATTAACATGTAATCAATGTGCATGCGGGAGATGTCGTGGGATCGCAGGCGTGGGCAGACGGACGAACCAAAATAAATATCGCACCAAAAAATATCCACACTTTATTCTTTTTAGTTGTAGGAGATTTAATATATAGTGAATGTCATGTGGTAGCAGTTGGAGTTGATTCGACCACGGAAAGCACTGATGTCTATGAAGATAGTGACTGGCTACATCGAAACAACTCATACAATCCCATGAAGATTGATAAAGATAACACATGTACCATTTTGGTTTTTTTCCTAAATACTAATTATTTTTTCTTGTGTTTGTATGATGCCGAGGCCAAGATTAATATCATGTTATTATATATATGTCAATGAATACTCTGATAAATGTATAGATCAAAGTGGCATGATTGGCATGACTGATGCATCACCTGATCTAAACCCAGGTACATTGTTTTTTCATTAATGTTATCTATTTGAGAAGAAAAAGTGTAGTGGGCCACCCAATTGTGGTTCATGACAATGTAATAATAAATTAATGTTCTTGCAATATGTGCCCTTCTGTATTTTATTTGAGACCGCGTAAATGCATCCAGTTCCATCGACAATATTGTCACGTGTCCAAAAGAGCGTAAGCGTAAGCTAGATAGAGCACGAAGGGCTGCAATGTCTCCTGAACAAAAGGCACTTTGAAATAAGAGACGGCGTGACTTGTATGCACAGAAAAATGCTACAAGAAAACTGCAAATGACTCCACAAGAGAAGGAGTTGAAATGAAAAGAGAGCAAGAAAAAATACAATAGGATGGTGAGAGAACACCGAGCAAACAATTTGCATCCAGACTCAATAGCCATGGAGAGCCCTCACTTTAATCCTCAGTTTATTTTCCCTTCTTCGCCTCAATCGCATGAAGCGCCTTCACACGAGATGGAAATACACGAATTGAGGGGCACGCCTGTTAACGTCGCGCTGACTGTAGTTCAAAATCTAGAAGTCCAGACCCCTGAAGTGGCTGCGACACAGACCTTACATAGGCAACGAGTGACCACTGGAGAGAGAAATGCCCTTCTATCCCATCGCAATCGGGCTTTTGAAGCAAACATTGGAAGAAGTGCTAGAGGGTGTGCGGATGGAAAGTGCAATGATTCGAATGGCCCAACTCAACCGAGTGTGGTTTACAATGGTAATTAGCCTTGATCAGTATATATTGTCGGTACTTTCACCTTCGCTCTTCTATTCTAAAAACTCATACCTTTTGTTACTACAGGTGGTGTCACCCAAGAAACTCCAGTTCCACCACCTAATAATTGCACAGGTACATAGACACAACTGTTTGTAGTTGATGGTACCTCTTCAATACCTCCAAACGGTGCACAAGCTCATACGCCAGACTCTTTGGTCGAGGATGATATTTTCTTTATTAAATTTATCCTTTTTGTTTTTTTTGTATGCCATTATGTTTATCTCATCATATATGTGGCCATGTTGCACAGACTATGATGAGGATGTCATATTTGAGGAGGACGAGGAAGAGGATGAGGCGTACTTTTTCACCGGACAAGGTACATCGTGTAATAATTAAAATATTCTTTCATAAACTTTCTTTCAACGCGTAACACATCAACATTTTGTTAGAAGACGACGAGGAGGGAACCGACGTTGAGCACATTCTCGACATGGATGAGGAAGAGAACAGTGAGCCTAATGTCCCGGATCCATACGATAGGGTTTACGCTAATGTCCCATCAGAGTCAAACATGCTACCGTCGGTGCCGAACTGCGAGCACTGCAATGCAAAGAAATTCGAGGGTGAACCGCCCAGATTCTGTTGTCGGGGTGGAAAGATTCATCTTTCAACTCTTGAGACACCACCAGAGCTCATGAGGTTGTGGTCAAGCTCGGACGCTGATGCTAGACACTTTCGTGCAAATATCAGATATTTCAAAGGCCACTTCTCTTTCACTTCTCTATACTACCACCTAGATCGTGTGACCACTAACATGCGAATCTGCGGTGTCTACACATTCTGTGCCCATGGCCAGATTTACCATAACATACGATCATTTGGTAAAGAGGATGGTGTCAAAAAGAGACACCTCGAGCTTTATTTTTATGACGATGATCCGTCCCTCGAGCATCGGATGAGCAAGTGCCGTGAGCAATGCACCCAAAAAGACAGAGAAGTTATAGAGCAATTGGTTAGTATCTTTAATGGGAATCCCTACTCTCAGCAACCAAGGAGTATGGGACACGTTGAAAACCTCGAGGATTGCCGGGTCGAGTTGAACCTTGACCAGCGGCTTGACCAGAGAACATATAACGTGCCATTGACATCAGAGGTGTCCACCGTCTGGGTTGAGGGGAGTGAGCGTCATGGCCAATTCGAGCATAGTGTTCACCTGCAAGGGAAGGATCGGTCTATACACGGCATCTGCTCATATAATGCATGCTTCGACCCACTGTCATACCCGGTGTTCTTTCCAATGGGTGAGCTCGAGTGGCACAACTGCATTCCAAAAGTGGGTGTGACTATGGCTCAAGTTGATCAAGCTCGAGCAATCCGTAAAAAGCGTGATGAGAATGGTGACGATGATGATGGAGGTAAGTTGAACTCTTTTCAATAATGCAATATAAACTCTTTTCTGTTAACGCATGATACTAATTCGAACAATGTCTCCCTGTAGAACCTGTTTCGAATACATGTGTCTCCGTGTGCGACTACTACTGCTACAAGTTCCAGATGTGGCCAGGGATATTTAATCCAATACTCTATGGCCGACGTCTTTTCCAGTAGTTCGCCGTCGACACCTACATCAAGATTGAGAGCTCGCGTTTAGACTACATAAGGAACAATCAGGATACTTTGAGGGCTAACCTATACCAAGGCCTGGTGGACAGCATGCATTCAGGTGAAGGATCTGCTGAGAATGTCGGAAGGCGTACTGTCCTATCTTCGTCATTCATCGGAGGACCCCGTGATATGAGGCGCCGATACATGGATGCAATGGCTCTAGTGCGAAAGTATGGTAAACCTGATATCTTCCTCACAATGACATGCAACCCTAACTGGGATGAGATCAAGAATGAACTTTATCCAGGCCAAACACCACAGGACCGCCCAGATCTTGTCACACGGGTCTTCAGAGCAAAGCTAGAGGTGATGAGGAAAATGTTGATGGAGAAAGACATACTTGGGAAGGTGAAGGCCTACGTATATGTAGTGGAGTTCCAGAAGAGGGGCTTGCCGCATGCACACTTCTTGCTGATAATGGAACGGAAGTACAAGCTCACATGTCCCGAGCAATATGACATGATTATCAGTGCAAAGCTACCAAAAAAGAAGAAGTACCCTAAGGTCTACAAGATGGTGACGAAGCATATGATGCATGGTCCCTATGGGACACTAAATTCATATTGTCCGTGCATGGTGGGCTGCGGGTCATGCAAGAACCGTTACCCGCGCCCATTCTGTGAGGCAACATCACAGGGAAAGGATTCGTGCCCCATCTATCAGCGACGCAATGATGGCCGCACGCTAAAAGTTCGAGGCCATTACCTGGACAATCAATGGGTCGTGCCTTACAACCCTTGCCTGCTACGTATCTTCAACTGCCATATCAATGTCGAGGCCTGTGGGAGCATTGAATCAGTAAAGTATCTATTCAAATACATATACAAGGGACATGACGGGGCATTGGTGGTGATGAGGGAGACCGACAAAGCAGACGAGAAAGGGAACATTGATGAGATCAAGCAGTATAGAGATGCCCGGTGGGTGATGCCTCCAGAAGCACTGTGGAGGATATATGGCTTTGACTTGAGCAAGAACCATCCACCAGTACAGCAGCTGCAGCTTCATCTACCCGACATGCACATGGTGGCATTTCATAAACGGGATAAGATCGAACGGATCGTTAATAGGCCAGGTGTAGAAGAGTCAATGCTGATAGCATACTTCAATGCAAATAGGCATCATGAGGAAGCCCGCGGAATCTTGTATCAGGACTTCCCAGAGCATTTTACCTGGCAGTCTGATGGTAAATTCTGGCAGAAAAGGAAAAACTCCGTTTTTCAAGTTGGAAGAGTCATCTCGGCTCATCCTACTAAGGGAGAACGTTACTTTCTTCGTGTTCTCTTGAACAATGTTGCTGGTGCTACATCATACGAACATCTGAGGACGGTTGATGGCGTGCTACTACCTTCGTTTCGTGAAGCTACAGAAAGGAGGGGTCTAATCGAAGAAGACAATACACTGGATGGCCGTGCGCGAGCAAGGGATGGCCGCTGTCGACGACTACGACGATGAGGACACGCTGGCCCTGTTCGACTTCCACGAGTCCCGTGCCGGTGAATTGCAAAAAAAAAGTCCCGTGTGCGGCGTCTGCGGCCTCGTCGAGTCCGGCGTCACCACGGTACCGCCGCCGTTCCTGGCGCCCGCCGCGTGGAACTCCTCGGCGGCCACGGAGGCCTTGGTCTCCCCAACCGTCGACCTCTCCCTCCCGCACTCTTAGGCCGTAGCGCTCGTGGGCGCCGCGGCACGCTCGTGCGGCTTCTTCCAGGTCACCAACCACGGCATCCCGGTCGGCACCGTCGAGTCAGCGCTCTCCGCAGTTAGGGCCTTCAACGAGCAGCCGTTGGCGGCGCGCTCGGCGTACTACTCTGTCTCGATCGCCGGGCCTGCCGTCTACACCACCGTGCCCATCCCGCCGCGGAACGCCGGGCAGCATGCCAACGTGCCTCTCCTGCCATGGCGCGACACGCTCGTTCTCCGCTTCGGCCACGACAAATCCCACCTCAACCACCTCCCCGCGGCGTGCCTGGATGCACTGCTGGAGTACCACCAGTCGCTGACGGCGCTCGGGAAGGTGATCGCCGGCCTGCTGTCGGAAGCGCTCAGCGTGGGATCCGAGCAGCTGGACAGGGCAGTGCAGGTTGAAGCGACTCATGCAGTGCCACTACTACCCGCCGTGCCCTCGGCCAGAGCGGGTTGTCGGCAGCCGTGTCCACACCGAGGTGATTTCTTCACGGTGGTTGCGCAGGACGGCGTCGGTGGGCTGCAGGTGCGGCTCGACAGTCATGGAGATGCTTGGGTGGACGTCGTGCCCGTCACCGGTGCACTTCTTATCAACATCGGCGAGGTGCTAAAGGTACTATAATCATAGAATAATAAGTCTAATTTTCTTCCAGTAAGTTTACACTCATCTATAATTTCCTTCGTCCACCAAAGAATGCAATTCTGGTTTTTCGAGGAGTCAAACGATTTGAATTTTGACTAATATATAAAAAAGAGTAGTATCATTCGTGATATAAAATTAGTACTATTAAATTAGTAATAGAATATTATTATAATAAATTTATTTAGAGCCATAGATGCTAATACTATTTTCTTTAAACTTGGTTAAACATAGGTTAATTTGACTGGCACGGTTTCCATAATTGTATTCTTTTGTAAACAGAAGGAGTACTACTTGCACACAACATTAAGTTTATACTGGTATGTAGTATCCTGAAAAATTGAAATTGTAAAAAATGTAGTCACCAAATAAGTATTATTCACTACTACACAAAATCTTTTGTGAGGCATTTTCAAAATGGTCTCGGAGGAGGGCGGGCTAGCTGCCCGCCTCGGTTATTCATGGCAGGACAGCCGGCCCAACAACGGCTCGGTTAATGCTTAACTGAGGCGGGCAATGTAATATAAGCGCCTCGGTTAATGCCTATTAACCGAGATAGACATTATAATGCAACTGCCTCGGTAAATCATTAACCGAGGCGGGCATTCTAACGCAACCGCCTCGGTAAATCGGGCCCAGCCTGCTAGCCCACAGCAGCTCACTATTGCCTCCAATATATAAACGAAACCCTAAAATCACTCTCTCCCTCACCCCTTCCCTCAGCCGCAGCCCACTCTCTCCCCACGCTCCCTTAGCCGCAGCGCAGTCTCCTCGATCCCTCTCTCCCACTCGACCGCACGTCCGCACCCCTCCCCTCTCCCTCGACGCGGCCGTGTCCCTCCACATGCACGCCCTCTTCCTCCCGGTGCCACGCCTCCTCAAGGCGCTCGAGGTCGATGGTGACGGCAGCATCTGGCTGCCCGTCCCCATCTCCCTGCTACTACTCCTCTCCACGTCCCCCGCCAACACGTCCGGGGCGTCCTCCCCGCTCATGGCAGGCCTTGTTGCTGGCCTCGTGCTGGACCTCATCCTCGTCGGCCTCGTCAAGGTCGTTGTCCGCCGTTCGCGCATGGCCTACAAAGCCAAGGACATGTATGTCGCCGTCGCTGCTGACCACGGTTGCCCACCGCTCCCCCTCGCCCTCCACCTCCAGATGCGGCGGTTGCGGTGGCGGGCGGCCGGATCTAGGCGGTGGGCCGCTTCCCCTCCCGCTTCAACTCTGGCGGCGGCGTGGGATCCGGCCTCCCCATGGCGGCGCTCCTCCCCCTCCACCTCTACGTCAACTCCGGTGGCGGCGTGGGCCTCCCCGTGGTGGTGCTCCTTCTCCTTCCCACGGCGGCGCTCCTCCCCCTCCACCTCTACGTCAACCCCAGCGGCGGCGTGGGCCTCCCCGTGGCGGCGCTCCTTCTCCTCCCCACGGTGGCACTCCTCCCCTCCACCTCTACGTCAACTCCGGCGGCGGCGTGGGCCTCCCCGTGGCGGCGCTCCTTCTCCACCCCACGGCGGCGCTCCAACTCTGGCATCAGCTCCCTGGCGGCGGATCTAGCGAGCGATGGCGGCGGCGGGCGTGTGGACGGGCTCGCTGGGCTTGTCCATGGGCTTTTTTATTTTTTAATTTGATTAACCGAGGTGGGCGGCCAACTGCCTCAGTTAAGGTCACGATTAACCGTGACCTTTGCACCGAGGCGGTTAGCTTGCCCGCCTCGGTTAAGCGATTTCACCCGCCTCGGTTAAATTTCTTGTAGTAGTGATTAACATGTCTCTAGCTAATTTTTATGCTACATAATCTACAGGTGGTTTCGAATGATGACTACAAAAGCGTGGAGCACAGGGTGGTCATCAAGTCCACACAAGAGGCTAGGGTCTCCATTGCCCTCTTCTTCAATCCTGGCAAGTGTGGCGACTTTGACTTGTTCGGCCCTCTGACGTAGCTGGTGACACAAGAAAGGCCTGCACGTTACCGGAGTTTAACCTTGCCAGAGGTTTGGATACAGAAAACAGATGGGTCATGCAAGGCTATCACTTGATAAATTCAAGGTAAGGGCTTATTTGAAACGGAGAAATAGAAAACAGAGGATAGGGGAAAAATGCAGCAATAGGAAGAGAGTGCTGTAGTGAAATAGAGGATTGAAAAAAAACATGAATAGAAGAAAAGGGTGTTTGGAATGCATGAATTCATATCACACATCACAGGTACAAGAGAACATTCAAATGTTAAAAGCATATTATTTCATAACAATAGATTGTTTATTAAACCCCCTTTCCACATGATGTCATGTTCACCGCTTCCATTCTCTAGTATTTTTTTCTTTTCTTTTTATTGGCATGCACTGTACACTTATCTCTTCACTGTTCTCATCCAGTCAGTCTCCGTCTTATACCTCTGCCTCTCTCGCGTTACTCCTTTTCTCTCACCTCGGCTAAAGCTATGGAGGCTGAGCTAGCTTAGCTATCGAGACCACGGTTGGTGGGACTGCTGGCTGCTCCAGAGGGCTACTCGCGTGAGCTTGGAGTTCAGGCCGCCGGATTGCTCTCAGAAGGCCATCGGCGAGAGCCGAGCGCCCCGATATGACGACGCCGACAAAGGTGTGGTCTGATTATGTGCTCATCCGGATTATCGCGGCAACACCTCACATCTGTGGCTCTGTGAGCGCACTCTCTAGTTTGCTTGCCTCGGATCGGCCATCAGCAAAAAACTTTGGCCCTCGATGGATGTTTTCATTCCTGTGTTTTGTGGAGGAAACTGAAACTTTCCTCTGAAACTGGAAGCTTCATTCGTGGCGTCAACAGAAGCAATCCTTTCAAATTCCTTTGAAAAAACTCCGTTCTAAACAGGTCCTAATTTTAATAATAACTGTCGGGACAGTCTAGCACGGATACCTGGCTACCTGCATCCCTCCTGTCGGCTAATTATATTACTTTCTAGTTATTGGGGCAAATTTTGATATAATATAGTTCTACTCCAGTACAGTGCTTACTATTATATCGCTCAAGCATGCCATATTCATATCGCCTATTCGCCTGCTAGTTCCAATAAATATATAGCTCATTGACTTGTTAGTAACCCATCAGACTACAAAGGAACGTAGACACGAGATGAGCCCCAGAGGAGCTGTACTGCCAACCATGTACTGTATAAGTATTTGTCCTTCTTTGTCCCACGCTACTATAAAAACGATTTGTAGTAACGCTTTTCTTTCTTTGTAGGGGCGGCCCTACAAATGGTTGCCAAATGAGCCGTCCTTACAAATAGATTTGTAGGGGCGGCCGGTGTTATCAGCCGCCCCTACAAATGGCCCGATTTGTAGGGGCGGCTCAATATTGAAGTGTCTCTACAAATAGACGCCGAATATTAAAAATTAAGCACTAAAATTCAAATTTTGTAAACGACCTCGGATGGAGAAACAACCAAAATAAAAGTTGTAGATCTCGAAAACTTATGAAACTTTGTAGTTGACAACTTTTTGATTTGAAATCATCTTGTCAAGGAAAATTACGTTTGAATTTTCAAAAATTTGAAATTTGAATTTTTTAGACGACCTCGGATGGACAAACAGTAAAAATAAAAATTGTAAATCTTGAAAAGTTATGAAACTTTATAGTTGATAACTTTCTCATTTGAAATCATCCGGTCATGGAAAACTACATTCAAATTTCTTAAATTTGAAATTCAAATTTTATAAGTGACATCGGATGGAGAAACTACCAAAATAAAAGTTGTAAATCTCGAAAAGTTATAAAACTTTATAGTTGATAACTTTTTCATTTGAATTAGTTTATGGCCTCAAATAATCAATTTATGCTCAGTTTTGTATAATACGTGAGGAACTAAAATGGAATGTAGACACAAGTGATCGTGAGGTGCAGTGGTAGAGGAGTTTACACGCGAGCGAGACATCGCGGGTTCGAAACCCGGCTGACGCAAAGGGTGCAAAAATCGTAAAAAAATGCTACAACGGTAGAGTGAGGGTGTGTGTGCTCGAATTAAAAAATTTACCATTTTTTTGCCCCTGTTTTCGTGATTTCTGAAAATTGATTTGTAGGAACGGTTCAATATCCAGCCGCCCCTATAAATCGATTTGTAGGGGCGGCTGATAACACCAGCCGTCGCTACAAATCAGCGATTTGTATCCACCCTTTCATAGGGGCGGTGGCGAACCACCCCTACATAGGTTACCAGCCGCCTCTAAAAAAACGTTTTCTATGTAGTGCCGCATTCAGATTGCTACAGTATTCGCCTGTTCTAATCCACATTTTGCCATGTCACGTCATAGATGCCTCTCTGCTTAACCGTCCGCGTCCATGTTTTTGGCACCAAATGTACAGCATGTAAGAGCAGTTCTAGTGTTGGCGAAAATCAAGTAGAGTTTTTCATTGTATTTTTGAGGCAAAACTATGGAGGAGATTCCCATAATGCTTCAATTTTATAAATTAAAAGAAGGGGATGAGATGAGTTACATACTTAGAAGTTACAATCGATTTTATAAATTAAAAGAAGGGAAGATCTAATTTTATTATACCAGCAAATATGCCATGCGACATGCACATGTTTATGAAAACTATTTCAAATGCAATGGAAATATACATTGAATTCTCGATATGTCAATTCATATATATATCAACAATTTCTTTAAATATAAAAATAGGATAATATTTAGTGGATCTATAAAACATTAAAGAAATTTACAAAACTATATGAATGAGTGGCACGGTCTAGTGGAGCTGATGTCCTTTTGTTCACCGGTGCAAAAAAAAAAAAAATCTAAAGTGGTGACTGGGGACCATGCCTACACGGTGATTTCATTTTTTTTCCTATTTCTAATCTTAAAATAATCCTTAAACGTGATGGAACATGACTTCAGTAATACCAACAAACATGTCCGTACGTTGCAACGGGAGAAAATCAAAACTTGTATCTCTCTGCTTAGTTACTAATGTGTATTTTGCATTTAATCCATCGATAATGAAGCAATAATTACATT